CACTTTGTTGTTTAGGACAATTTGTCAAGGTCAAAGTATGAGATTATTGAGATGACTTCATTGACAATAATTTGTAACTTACAAACTTCACATCATAAGTACACAGATGAAGAATCGATAAGATATTTCTATAGATTTTTTAGATCATTTTTCTCCTAGGTAAAAGTCAGTTCCTGAGATTACTAATATGAGCCTTGTAATGTTTTAACTTTAACATTGTGTGATAACTTATAGACTTTATAAAAATTAGGTGCAAATTCTTAGGAAAGGATTGAATTAATCAAATGTACAATGTTCAAGGGTGTTTATATGACTATTACTATGTAATACCTAGGGTTTCTGTAAAAATCCTATATTCACTACATAGATAAAGACCGGTATAATATATTTAAACAATGATGAAGGAAAAAAGTCAAAAGCTCTCCCCTTCATATCTTTCATATTCTGTCCTACACAACAATAGATAAATTGCAGTCATATAACAAACTGAGGTCTAATCAAATCCTAGAATTGATATTGTGATTTTCTGATAGTATGAGATCTTCAAAAGAATAATTCCCCAGACTTCAAAGTATCTAAATGTGACTTTTATTTTTTCCGATTCATATTGAAGACAGTTGTTATGTATGAGAAGTATACATTTAAACCTTTTATTTTTCATCTTATTTCTACAACCCCTAACAAATTACTGGTATAATATATTTTAACTATGATGAAGGAAAAAAGGTCAAAAGCTCTCCCCTTCATATCTTTCATATTCTGTCATACACAACAATAGATAAATTGCAGTCATATAACAAACTGAGGTCTAATCAAATCCTAGATTTGATATTGTGATTTTCTGATAGTATGAGGTCTTCAAAAAAAATAATTCCCCAGACTTCAAAGTATCTAAATGTGACTTTTATTTTTTCCAATTCATATTGAAGACAGTTGTTATGTATGAGAAGTATACATTTAAACCTTTTATTTTTCATCTTATTTCTACAACCCCTAACAAATTACACAGATGTTTAAAAGCTAGCCTATGGTGTAATTATTACTTTCCTGGAACTGTAAATACATTTTGTTTGTATATGTGTGTGTCCTATTTCGAATTTAATAGGTCTCAATAGGACCCCCATAAAGATGTAAGTGTCCCCTGATCTGTGATGTAATAATATCTTGAATATTTCTATCAACCATTAGACTCCATGCTTACTACACAGAACAGGTTAGAGTAATACACTTAGTTTTATAGGACACTTTGTCAGGGTCAAAGCATGAGATTATTGAGATAACTACCTTTGACAATAATTTGTAACCTGCAAAATTCACATCTTAAGTAAAGAAAGATTCGGAGATTTTCTATAGATTTTTGGATCATTTTCTCCTGGGTAAAATTTAGTTGTTGTAACTTTAACATTTTGTGATAACCTAAAGACTTTATATCAGCTCTATTGGGTGGCATAGCATATTCTTTGGAAAGAATTGAAATGTAAATCATATGCACTATGTTCAAGGATGTTTAAAGACTATTACTATGTAATACCTTAGAATTCTGTAAAAAAAAGATTTATTATCACTGCGTAGATAAAGACTGGTTGGAATAATTTATGTTTTGAAATAAGGTTTAGGGGGAAAAGTCAAGAATGTGGATATGACTTTTATTCAAATTGTGCAGTACAGCAACTCTGATGATTTACATACCTTCAGTCATAAATACATGTAGATAGGTAATGGGAAGACTCCTCTAGATTTTGAAATTTTTAATTCAAAAGTATAGAATTTTTTTTTAAGTTTGAAAGATTAAATGGCAGCATATCATTTGCTTGTGAATTAAAAAATAAATCCAAACATATACATCTTTGGATGATAATTGTAGAATTTTATCAATTCCTGGACTTTGGTCTTGATATCATCCTTTAATGTCCTTAAAATTTTAATGACTGTCTTTTAGTTTTAGTTGAATTAGTTTCTTTTCTACATGTGAAAATTACATCATCCAAAGAAGTTCTTCATCTGCATGTTGTATGAAGAAGACAATTTTCATCACAGTGAAGGAGATTGTTTTGTTAAACATAATGCATTGATGCACAAATATACTTTTAGATTTTTAATAGCTAGGGTTCATATTTCTTAATATGGAATGCTAAGTACTGTTGATTTCAATTTTTTGTGAACAAAGACAGATTATTGACTCTTCATCTGTGTACTTATGATGTGGAGTTTGTAAGTTACAAATAAACAAGACAAACGTACCAGAGAAATCCAACTATATGTCTAATAAGCCTATCCATTAAATAATCCAGTGAAATAACATCTCAGCTGATCCTGAAAAAATCATACAATTCAGTGATACACATTAACCTCATTTTACAATGTAAGCAAAGCAATAATATACAGACAAAAGGGACAGAAATGTAAAAAGATGCCATGTATTTTACCAAAATTTAGTGAACATTTTTCTGATTGAAATTCAATCATAGAATGACCCATCATAAAAATATTAAATGCACTCTGAGTTACATGCAGGCTATACAACTGTAAATCACATGAAATGAGGATAAATACAGCATTTACATTCAAAACAGAACTTTACATATAAATCATAGTTAAATGCAAAGATGACCTTCATAGGAAATGTATTACAAACAAAAATAAGACAAACCTACCTGTGGAATAGTTCTGTCAGAAAGGAGATTTCAAAAATGAACACGGTCTCAACATTCACATGACAAGAATGCATCAGGATGTTTACTTCCATGGTCATAGAGAAATTGAGCTTTATACAAGAAAAGCTTCACAACAGGAAAATCATCATAGAAAAAGAGAGTAAAAACAAAAGATAGTCCTACATTTTCTGAAAATCTAAGTTCACTTCTTAGAAACAAAAGTGAAAAGGAAACTTTAATTTTACAAGTGTATGACGTCATAATGCATCTATAGGTAGCTTGCTGACTAGACTGTGTACTATTAGTTACATAGTCTTTTAGTGACAGGGTATGGGATGATACCTGGTTAGTAAATTTCATACCTGGCGAGGCGGAGCCGCCGAGTCAGGTATGAAATTTACTAACCAGGTATCATCCCATACCCTGTCACTAAAAGACTATGTAACTAATAGTACACAGTACGATTAAACGTAAGTCCAACATATTTATGCACACGACCCTAAACAAACCAATGGTATATAAACCATAGCTGAAAATTTAGGATCTCACTTGACTGGCATTCTGAACTTGATAGAGGTAAAAAAAAAAAATATGTCAGAGGAAAATACAAAGGAGACCGTACCAGAAACACAGGATCTTATGGACTTAGATGAAAGAAGTTTGATATGCGGTATCTTAGGAGATATGAACATTGTTATGCAGGGAATGAAAGAAGTGCTGAAAGAGATTCGTGATCTAGGAAGGGAGGCAGACCAGGAGAAAAAGAAAGAAGAGTCCCGCCAACACCCACAAGAGGTAAAGTACTACGCCAGACTGTTTGATATGCCGTATCCTAAATAAACAGAAAGAAGTGCTGACAGAGATTAGTAATTTAGGAAGGGAGACAGACCAGTTAGTAAAAGAAGTACAAAAAGGAAAAAAAATAGAGGAGATTCCAGCCAGCACCCACAAGAGGAAAATTCTGTATGTATTTTGATTTTGAATAAAAATCTGTTATTGTCTGTCTTGTGTGTTATTGTTATTGTTTTCAGAAAATCCAGTTTGAACCGGCTGGCTGAGCTTTGACTGTGAATGAAAACGTGACGTCATAATCACATTCTTGAGTCGCTGCCAAATCGTAGTAGCAGCGTTGTGAATCGTAGTAGCAGCGTATAGTAAAAAAAAACTATATACAGTGTAAGCGCCGTATTTAGGGCTATGTACTGAATTGAACCCCCTAGCCCCTAGGGGCCCTGTACTGAGTTGACCCCCTATCCCCCAGATCCCCAACCTGCACTCCCTTGACCTACCTATCCCCCAGGGCCAAAAGTGCACTCAGTTGACCACCCATCCCCCAGGGCCGAAAGTGCACTCAGTTGACCCGCCCATCTAGGCCGCTTATACTACTGGGGGGTATCATTTAGTGAGCTCGTTGCTCACAGTACCTATGGGAAGCGGCCAAGCTGGGGTATCATTTATAGCTGCAGATCTGTAGCGTTATGATTTTATATCTTTGACTTAATTTGACAGTTATGGTAAAAGACAAATGCATAAAATCATAACGCTACAGAATCTGCAGCTATATCATTTAGTAAGCTCATTGATCACAGTATCTCTAGTTCATGGTTCATGACTAAAAATGTTGGATGGATTTCAAAATTTTGTAGATTTAAGGCAATTGAATAGCTCCTGTTCACTTGTAGTATATCCTATAAGACCAGGAACTATGGTTCAGATTTCTATGTCTTGTCATTATGTGATATGTCATGAGATTCTGTTATAGTTTTATGAAATTTGTGTATGACACCCTTACCCTGTTGCATAACTTTTACTTATATCCCCCGCTTGAAAAGCGGGGGGGGGGGGGGTGGGGGTGGGGGTGGTATATAGTAATTGGGATGTCCGCCCGTCCGTCCGCATCTTCGCTAGCCAAGGGTTTCCGATCCGAAATCTACTCCGTTGTAGAGTAGATTTCGGATCGGAAACCCTTGGCTAGCGAAGATGGTCCGTCCGTCGGTCCGTCTGTTACGCTTTGGGGTAACGGTCTCTTATACCACTAAATTTGATGAGACTTTCAGTAAATCTTTATTACCCTCCCCCCCCCCTTGAAAAGCGGGAGGGTATATTGTAATCGGGATGTTCGTCTTTCCGTCCGTTCGTCTGTACGTCCGTCCGCCTGTTACGATTTGGGGTATTCATCTCTTTTCCGCAACTCCTCTTATACCACTGAATGAAATTTGATGATACTTTCAGAGCATCTTTATTACATATTGCCATTGTGCACCTCATATTTTATTTTTTGATCCGACACATGTTTGGGGTTTCCAATAGCAAAACATGACACTACCATAATGATTATATTCTTACCTAAGACGTGAGGTGTGGCGTCTTCTGAATAACATGGGACACCATGAATTATGCCTCTTTTACACGTTACCGTAAAGCAATACAGAGATACTAGGAAAACTTCCCAGAAAAACATGGACACTGCCATTATATTCATATTGGAGACGGGGATATCAAATAGTGACCTCATTGCTAACAGTACCTCTAATGTAAAATATATTCCTTTTTAAAATCTTTTTACCCTAAAATCGCATGAATTCGTGTCTAATTTTCATTTTTTCCTCGGGAGAGGCCCCCGAACCCCCACCAACAGGAGGGGGCGACCCCCTCCCGAAACTACCCCCATTCGGCGCTTTGTGCCTCAGGTGAATCTTCAATTTACAATAGCCTGCACATGAACAGAAGGGAATATAATTATACGCCTCTGACACCTGCACGATCTACATAGATATATATTGTCGCAAAAATAAATTTTAAAATTCTCTCAAATAAAAATTTATTTGCAGTACATTTTCCAAACTTGGTTCTTTCTTGTGTTGTATAACGTCCCTTCGAGAGTTTTTCAATGGGAACGCCGCCACTTGCCGCGGTGGAGAGCTTGTACTATACTCGGCACTTAAGTGCAATTGTGCAGTGAGGGATCTTTTATGTGCCAGCACCTGCTGCAACACAGGACCTCGCTTTATACGGTCTCATCCGGAGGAGCCATCTCCTCGTTCAACAGTTGGATTCGAACCAGCGACGTAAGGATCAACTCCTTAAACGGCGACTCTAGAGCTATAACCACTGCGCCACACGGGCGACCCCCATCTTGGTAAAAAAAAAAAAATGATGAATTTAAAAAAAAAGTGACCCAGTTTCATCACAGAAATGCTTTATTAGACGAAAAATATGAAATATATAGTTTGTCAATGCAGTATAATAAATAAAGAGAAATGTGAATACGACATTTCAACAAGAAAAATATTAATACATATTATTTACAGGTAAAAACTATTTTTTTCCTAAAATTCGTAATTCTCTTTGTAAATATATTTCTCCAAATATACTAGGTATATATCCAAAATGTACATGCAACAATGGCAATTATTAAAGATATGTTTTCAGTTTTTACACAAAAAGTTGGTATACAATCGCTCTAAATCTAGAATCAGCAGTTAATTATGTATCGGCAGCCGTTAATTAAGTGCAGTAGAATCCACCGTCGTGTTTCCGGGAGTACCCGCCGTTTGTACCAGCACAATGGGGACTCTCTATAGAGAAAGAGGAAAGGATAGAAAGAAGAAATAAGCTTAAAAAGAAGAGGATAGATAGAAAAAAATAAAGTTTGTGTATGCATGGATTTTGTTTTGTGTTCCGGTTCTTTCTATTTTATGTAGCACTTTTAAATCTAAAATATGTAATATTTTAAAATATATCTGCTTTCTGGTGTAAAACGACCTTTAATTGGTTATAATTCTGAACGTAAATGTACATCATGTCATCACATTCCGAGTATACATGTAGTTTACTTTGTTGTTGGTTACATGTGTAAAAAGTGTGAACTTCAGATAAGAAATCGTCCCCTATAGTCATCGTTATTCTGTCATTCTGTCTTTTAGCATTTTTTTTATGATGTGGTTTAATTCTTGCAAATAGATGTCATTATTATAAGTCTAAGAAGAGAAGAATCCCCCATCAGGTTTTCTAGTGTAACCTCGGTTTGTTGTTTGTGTATGGTGACCCTCTGTAAAAAATCAAAGCATGATTGTTAAATATTTAATCTTAATTAATACATTTATCAAAGATAATCCTATAGGTTACATGTATATCTAATTATTATTTGTACTTAAAAAATGTATACATAGGCAACTAAACTTATTATATATATTCCAATATACATTTTTATAAAGTTTTCCTGAACATGCCTGTTGTATTTACATGTAGACATTCAAAATTGATTCCTGAAATTTCTTTACTATGGATTAAAAGGGGGGGTCTTTTAAAGTTATCCAAAATATTCCCCTGTTAGCTTTTAAAAGGGAGTGGTATGCCAAATGCCCAAGTGCAAAAAAAATCAACTATAAATTCATTCCAATTTGTTCTATGCATTCCCTCTCAGAAGAGCTATCTACCCATAAACTTAAGTTTTATTCTATTGGGGTATAAACATAAGTAATCAAATGTTACATAACTTATAGGTCTATAATTAAAGCAAAATTTCATTCCATACTCATAAGTCATATAAGTGATACTAAATTATATAATATGTAGTTCATTTTTGTATGCTTTCAATTAATAACCAAATATGCACATCATGTATTTGCCAAATCTGAACCAAAAGGGCTATATCATTAAGTACTCTTCATTAATGCAGCAAAATAAAATACTGTGGCCACTCATTTTAAAAAGATAAATAAATGAAATCTTTAAAAAAAACTTCTATTTCATTATAAGCATTTTATTGTGCTCATGTTAATGAACTTTAAAAATAAAAAAAATAAAATCTTTTTTTGCAGATAAATTATATTAGCATTTACCATTACTCATATTAAATAATTAAAAATAAAGAATCAACATACCAATTGCATTTTCAATAGAATGGATGCTATCTTTCTTTTTCTGCTCTATAACTATAAGAGGATGATTCAGGTAAGGCTTTGGCACAATAACTTCAACCTCTCGGTTCTTTAAAACTCGTCTGTAAATAAAAGAACATTGCATGAAAACAAATACTTAGAAAAATAATTGTAAAAATACAGGGTTAATATATCTTTGAAATTAATGGTCAGATTACTTTGATCTGAAGCTCATTTCTTGCTGATTTTTTGAAGATTTAAAAGTTTATTATTCTAAAATTTATCTCTGACAAGAAGAGATTTAATATTGGATTCATGGGGATATGCTTCTGAATGAAACACTTTAGAAAATTTCAGCACTGCAATTTACCCAGTGTCTTCACCGGCAGTTTCGGGTTGGATGAGGGTTTCATTTTTTGCTCTAAGGAATTCCTCATGATGGTTATATTTAGACTTAAGGACAAAATCGAGACTGTCTCGTGGGGCCTTGGGATCCATGTGGTAAATTTCTCTCCGAGACGAAGCCAGAGTGCAGGTTCCATTTAGTCTGTTCCATGGATCCTCATTCTGAGCCAGGTGGACTGGAACATCATATGCCTTTTGCTGTTCATAAATACAATGTGATATTTTATCTAATATTGTATTATACATGTAAGTAATCAAAATAACCCAAAAATATGTGGTATAAGAGGAAAAGGGTGAAATTGAATTTACAAATTTTTTTAAAGCTGGCGAAAATATAAATCAATTATTAAAATTCAATATGAAAAACATCAATATCCAGAATTCATGTTTTAGGTCATTTAAAAAAAATTGATATATTATATCAATAGCTACCTACCATTTTTAGACAT